CTGGAACACATTGTGGTATTCCCTGATCGGACTTGAAGTAATCGTCTCTAGCGTGGAGTCGAGCATCTCGCTGACTTTCGTGTCGACGTAGAAGGGCTTGCATTTAGCATCCTTTTCCCATCGCACTCCCTTCACTCGCGGCGGAGACGGCGCATCAACGAGGAATGATAAGTCGTTGGCGTATTCGACTTCAGAGGTTTCAGTGACCTCAGGGAGAAAGGACAAGTCGTTGGCGTACTCGAAGTCGGGGACGGCAGCTTCGGTTTCAGTCTTTGGTTGTGATGGAGATGCTGATGGCCAAGCATTCGTGGAGTGGAAGGGGTTCTGGTTGAATGACTCGGCGAAACTGTTCTTAGCCTGCTCGGTATCGGCGAAACCTTCCTCCGTAGACTCGAGCGCGGCATTGAGGCTTGCGATGCGCTTGCGTTCCCTGTACATCTGTGCCTTGACCAATTGACGTCGCAGAGGTGTGACCGTAGGCAGGTTGGAAGTGCGCTTGCCATTGGGGGCTGGGCTTGCGGATGCTTGCGATGAGGACAGTCCTTGCGCCGACGGTGACGTAAGACCTGAAGAGGCATGGGCAGTTGAAGCATTGCGGAGCTCAGAGATCCAGGCCGGGTTGGCATTGTCGTAGGCAGGCGGGTCATAGTGGTATAGTGGGGATGACAAGACCGGGCTTGCGGGCGAGGCAACCGCGGGTGAGGCGACCTGAGGGCTGTTCCAGAATATTGTCATGGGAGAGCCGGTCTGGGGGTCGCGCGGCGGGGTTGAAGTGAAGACATCCTCGAAAGAGAAGTCTACACTGACCTCAAGGTCCTCGTCGTCTTCCAGGCTGACGTTGCCGCCCTCGTCGAGAGATACATCTCTATTGTATGCTCCAGGCACGATTTCCTCGAATTCTTGTGTATGTGCTGATGACGTATATTGAATTGGCGGAACGCGGAATCGGTTGGGGCTTAGCTCTGACGCGCGCGCCTGCCTTTGGTGTTCGCGACGCGCCTGGTTCGCGCGCGCGCGCACTGAAGGCGACGGTGTCGCGCATTCCTCGTCTGCCAGACCTGCGGAGATGAAGCGCTTCTTGTTGGAGCCGGTGGCGGAGATGATGGGGATCGCCTTGATAGTCTCGCGGCGGAGATAGCGGTTTGCAAGGCGTGCGGGGAGTGAGAGCAGGTTGGCAACGCTCACGGTCGCAGCCCACTTGCCGAGCGTAGTGAAGAGAGAAGCGCGCGGAGGTATGACTTCCTCGGCGGCAATGATGTGATCTTGTGGCCATCCGCCTGGGATACGCAGATGTGATATTGAGGAAGGGGTGTGTTGCTGCGCCTGCCGTTGTTGTCAGCTCGCGTCGCGTCAGTATAGGCAGCGACGACTACTTACCTGCAGTTGGGGAGCGCCGAAGCCATTGGCAGCGACTAGCATATCCGCAGACGCGCTGGAGAGGTAGGCGCTATAAGCGCGCTTGTTAGACATTGTTGGTATTGCTTGTCGCGGTGGTGGGTGCGATGGGCAGTAGTGACAACAATGTGGTGGAAGTGGTGTAGAGTGGAGAAGGGACGAGGGTCGCGGCTGCTGCACAAAGCTGCCCGCAGTAGCGGCCGCGCACAGACCCGCGGCTAACGGTTCGCGCTAAATTGCCTGAGGCTCTTGGTACCCGGCGCGGAGAAACAATCCACCATTACGGCCTGCTTCCAAGGTAGTATGTGCCTGCAGTGCGTGGTCCTGCTTCTCCCCATATCCTGTCATAGATCCTGCTGCCGCCGTCGATATCGCCTTGCACGCCACACATAGCCTCCGACTCCAACGCCCTCCGGATTGCAAGTCGCTACCGCCCACCGCCTCTACTCGTGTCTGCTGCACGTCATTGGTCGAGTTTGAAAGGGCAAGAACCCCTCGACAGCAGCTCTACATCACAACAACCGATCGACCCCCCACCTACATCGATCCCGCCGCCCCGCAACCATGGATACCAATATGGAGGACGTCAAGATGCCAGAGCCTATGCAGCTGTCGTCTGCCCCCACGACTGAGCCGACCACAATCCCCACGCTGGACGGCTGGATTGAGAGTCTGATGAGCTGCAAGCAGCTGGCCGAGAGCGACGTGCAGAGACTATGCGACAAGGTATGCGACACCCGCCTGGCGCGCAATGTCATCGGGGATGCCTTTTCTGACAAGCATCGTGTTACAGGCCCGCGAGGTACTTCAGGACGAGTCCAATGTACAGCCAGTGGTACGTACCCTTTTTGCCGCGCCTGCGACATCTGCTCACCGTCGCATAGAAATGCCCCGTCACTGTCTGCGGTGATATACACGGCCAGTTCCACGACTTGATGGAGTTGTTCAAGATCGGTGGTCCCAACCCGGACACCAACTACCTCTTCATGGGTGCGTTGCCTGCCTCAACCCTGCCCGCTCATACTGACTGACGTGCACAGGCGACTATGTCGACAGAGGCTACTTCTCCGTCGAGACCGTCACCCTCCTAGTCGCACTCAAGATTCGATACCCCCAGCGCATCACCATTCTCCGTGGCAACCACGAGTCCCGCCAGATCACCCAAGTCTACGGCTTTTACGACGAATGTCTCCGCAAGTACGGCAATGCCAACGTCTGGAAATACTTCACAGACCTATTCGACTACCTGCCGCTCACCGCCCTGATCGACAACCAGATCTTCTGTCTGCACGGTGGTCTCTCGCCTAGCATCGACACCCTTGACAACATCAGGGCGCTCGACCGCATACAGGAGGTGCCTCACGAAGGACCAATGTGCGACCTGCTCTGGTCCGACCCAGACGACAGGTGCGGCTGGGGAATCTCACCCCGTGGTGCAGGATACACCTTCGGTCAAGACATCTCGGAGGCCTTCAACCACAACAACGGCTTGACATTGGTGGCACGTGCTCATCAGCTAGTCATGGAGGGGTATAATTGGTCGCAGGACAGGAATGTCGTTACCATATTCTCGGGTATATTGTTCAATTTTCCATTGCCGATGATCCCACTGACCTCGTACAGCACCGAACTACTGCTACAGATGCGGTAACCAGGCCGCTATCATGGAGATCGACGAGCATCTAAAGTATACCTTGTAAGTTCCTTCCCTCTCCATATGATATGTTCAATATCTGACACACGTCCCAGCTTGCAATTCGACCCTTGCCCACGCGCAGGCGAGCCTATGGTGTCGCGAAGGACCCCGGATTACTTCCTCTAAGCGAACTCTTCCTCTTGGCTCCCACCGCTATCTCAGCACAGCGTTACATTTGGAAGTCATCACTGAATACACTATGTACGATTGCATTCCTGGTCACCCGAGCCGTCATGAAAAGTGACGGGAGACGCGTGCCAACGACGTGCTCGCTTGTAATGAGGCTCTCATCGTCTACAAGGCCCAAGAAGCCGTACTAGAGACACGTGGGAATGTTGCAATAGGTGGTGATGTAGCTAGTGCGAGACTGATAATGGTAGAGAGTTGGCTGTAGAGCTCCCTATATGTGCTTTGGTGAATATGTTTGTTATTTGTAATGCACTCCCGCGCATGGGCATTGATCTTTGACACGCGATCTATATCCTCATTCCATCGCTATACCTTGGGTAGTAACAAAATACGTGCTGTATTGAATGGTGACCCGGATGCTGTCTTCTTAGAGATGCACAGTATTATGTCACGTTGACTTGTTATCATCAGCACTGCACATGCATTAAGTCAACAGAAAATGTCATTCTCTGATGGTGCGCAGTCTGTACCGCTGGGCAGGCGGCCTGCAACGAACCATCCCAGCTGAGTCAGCCACCATCTTGCATCTCGAACTTTTGTCCAGAACCAACATCTCGAGCCACACCACAGCGCCCGCCCATAATGCCTCTCACACTCTTCCGACGTCTTGCGCGACCCTCGATCCTCTCCGCAGTTGCTTTCGCTCCGGCGCGATCAACACGGCCATCAATCGCCGCCTCCGCTTTCCAGAACAGTACCCCAGCCTTCGCAGCCCGCCCAACACCGTCGTCGCGCGCACACAAATGCACATTGATACAAGTCCTGCGACAGGGAAGGATAGCGCGGAAGGCGCGTAAACTGCGATCGCCACAATTGAAGGATAGGCCGGAGCTGAAGGGCGTGTGTCTGAAAGTAGGAACGACGAAGCCGAAGAAACCCAACTCGGGCGAGCGAAAGATTGCGAGGGTCAGACTGAGTACGGGCAAGGTTATCACGGCGTATATTCCAGGAGAAGGTATGGCAAACACATGGGAGTGGTAAGCTACGGGGAGACTGACCAGTACGCAGGTCACAATGTACAACAGCATTCAGTTGTCATGGTACGAGGCGGACGAGCGCAAGATTGCCCTGGTGTGAAGTACCATTTGGTTCGAGGAGCACTGGATCTGGTAAGTCCCATGAGCACAAATATCATGGGAAGACATGGCTAACACTCTGCAGGGTGGTGTCGGTAGCAGAATCACCTCACGGTCAAAGTACGGAACGAAGAAGCCCAAGACGGCATAGATGGATACTGCGGTGGAGTGTATACATATGATTGTACCATACCCTAGCATCATGGGCGTTGAAACACAGCGGACGTGGAAATGCATCATCCGACTACTCAAGTATGCCTGGTTCAACGACGTAGGCACATCGCAGACATCCGTCATGGCATTATGACACTTGTGCATTTGTTGAATAGCAGTCGTGATCATCTGTAAAATCGTGTACCATTGGGGTGTGGCGCACGTCAGTATACCTCGGAGGTTTACCTATGCAGCTGCAGCCCGACGGCTCGGAAGTCGCGTCATTCCAAGGATTCCACGGTCGACTTCCGCACCAAGTCCACAGCACCCTTACATCGTCGCGCAAGCTCAAGACGCTTGACCCAACTATCGCTGTGAACTGCATCTGTCTTCACAGTCGTTATGTATCTGCTTCAATAATTACTGGATTTAATCAACACTTCGAGTAGTTCTGCCTGCCGACCCATCCTCGGATATCCGCAACCGCCGCAATGGAGACGCCAGGCGCGTCTGCCAACGCGACTTCCTTCTTGCCGTCGCCAGCAGACTTGCTCATGGCATTACCGCGCCTCTTCTCCAAGGCCAGTTCTCTCGGCGACATGATGCGCTCGGGTGGAAGCGTTATCGCGGAACCTACAGCCAACATGACAAACAGCACCATGACGACTACAGGCTCGGGATTTGTGCAGGAATCCATCGCTGCAGCGGCTTCTGCGATTTCGACCGAGGGCGATATGACCGTGTGGCAAGCTTTGAGGAACGTAGCCGCCTGGTTCAGCTACATTACTTCCAAATGGGCCGTCGCAACATTCGCCCTGGTGAGCATCTGCTCCCACGACTACGACTACTACCTTTTGCTGATATGATATCGCAGGCAATCGTGCTGAATAGAACCCACTTCTACGCCAACAGCCGCGTTCCACTTTCCTTCGACCGCCTCTACCTTCGTTTCGCCCTCTACATCATGCCCTTGATCCTCTTCCTCTATCAGACGCAGAACACTCTACGGGCGATACGCTGTCAGACCTCCCCGGATTGGTCAGAGATGCAGTACGGAGCGGATGGTAGGCAGCTGGACACAGACTTCGGCGGCGAAGGCGGCTGTCTATGGCAGGTCACGTCAAAGATACTCTTCTGGGAGACTACAGAGAGCTCATGTCGAGCTGCGAATATGTTGCCCATCGGCCCGGCGACCACGCGGCCTTCTGGATCGCTATCGCTTCTATGGCCCATGTTCGTGACACTTGGATTTGGCCAGTTCGTTGATACCTTGGCCTGCGCTCTACAAGGAAGACGCCCGATTCAGGAAGTCGGAATGACCATCTTCGAACATTCGCTCGCATTTGCAGAGGCTGAGGCTGTCGTTACGAAGCCGTTAGCGGTCGATTCCGTTCGCTTCTTCAAACCGAAGTCTGTCTTCACTCCAGATGGCACATCCTTCACGATTCCTAGGTCGAAGCTCTCCAAGATCGCCAATGTACCACCGGAAGTCCTGTTGATTTCTCTCATCTCTAGTTTCAGCCACTTCATGAGCAACTTGTTAGCAATCGCCGGAGTGCGCTCTAGATGGCGACTCGTCACGACAACAATCTGCGGACTTGCCTACATGTCAGCTTTCGCATGGAGCTGTGTTCGTCTGGCAACCATGGTCACTGATCCAGACCACTATGTGGGGATCTTGAGATTTCCTACTGTATGCATCATTGGATTCATCCCGCACTTGCTGATACTTGTGGGCATCGCGATATGCGCACTAATCTACCTGCTGGCCTTCATCATCACCGTACTATCTCCACCTGCAGGACACGCCAACAACTTGTCTCTGCGAGAGAGATTTGCATCCGCTTACGGCAATCTCCATGCCAACATTCATCTGTCCTCGATAACGCCTTTGACTATTAATTGGCACGAAGACTTCTATACAACTATACTCAAGGTAGGCTACGTCATTTTGACATCCGCCAGTGAAGCCGTGTTTCTCAACGAAGGAACTAAGGTCAATGTGCACCCAATGACCTGGCTCGAAAAGCAGAGACTGCAGGAACTGCTCGCTCGGCGAAGAAGAACACGAGAGATGATCACCGACATCCCGTCCGAGCTCAGGAACGACACATTCGCGCAAGGCATCGAGGTAGTTGACGAACTCAACGATGTCAGAACGGATACATCACTGTCAGGTTATGCAAAAGAACGTAAAACGCGAGGAGTACAGGCATCCACTGAACCAGCCATTGGACAGAATGATCCTGCGATTCAACAACGTAGTCGCTACTTGCAGACCTATCAGTTCTTCTTCCGTATATCAAAGTTGATTATACTTAGTCTCGCAAGGATCACGGACTGGGCGTTGACTAAAATTTCGATCAGCTATCGACCAAGATGGCTACAACGCGCTGTTGGGTTCCACGCTGATCACGCTGAAAAGATGTATGCTCCGCGACACCCAGATCAAGCGTTGGCAAGAGAGTCATGGCTTACCACAGATGATCGGTCTCGAATTCGCCAGGACCGGAATTTTGACGTTGAAGTCTTTGCGAAGGAGAGGCTCCGACAGAGTGGGTTCTATTCGGGGCCCAATGGGGAAGATTCTGAAGAAAGTCTTGACGACTACCTGTATTCCTGGTGGCGCAACGGTAGTCTATGGAATGACGTTGACAACACCAGAGACTATGTTGACTCGCAAGATGATGACACGACTAGTGTAGTGTCATTTGCTACCACAACAGACAACGATGAGTGGTCAGACATGGACGACGGTCAAAGAACACCTACGCGTGCAACATACCAGAGAAGTCGGGAAGCAACACCCATCCCTGACGACGCAATGGACTTTTCGAGACTCTCTCAACTCCTGGATCCGAAATCTAGTGAGGATCGTGAAGAAGCCAGGCTGCTGTCTCGCCACCTCCAGAGCTCCAACATCATGACTCGCTCGCAGTACCGCAAAGCTCTTGAGCGCGAAGAGGCGAAGATCCTCACAACATCACGCTATAAGATGAGCGGCGGCGTCAACATGTCGCCCGAAGAAGAAGAGCAACTTCTGGAAGATCTTATTCTCAGTCGTCGGAGCGCAACCGCCCCACAAGGCGCAAGTACAGCTGGAAGCTGGGACTCAGGTGCAGAAGGTATGGGCTCAGAAGGACCGCAATGTGTAGTTTGCCAGATGTCGCCAAGGACAGTACTGGTGTGGCCATGTGGGTGCTTGAGCCTGTGCGACGACTGTCGGGTGGGGTTGGCTTCGAAGAACTATACGGCGTGTGTGTGTTGCAGGACTAATGTGGCTGCATACTCGCGTCTTTTCGTGCCTTGAGAATCTAGGGGTCTGCATAGGGCTGGCGTTGAACATTTGTTTGCATGATCCTGTACATGATAGCACATTATACAGGAATCGATCGAAAATCTACTTCATAGGAATCCATATTACCATAGGATATCGCCAACTTTCACTTTGACACTGATGTGGACGGCAAGGCACCTGTTGCTTCGGAACTTATCGGAACGAGACCGGCTACATTCAGGTACTTAGGCCGTACCTAGGTAGTGGTGACGTTTCCACACGCCATGTGATAGTCGGCCCACTGCTGCAAACTGTTAGTATCATTTGTTCCCCCCACGTTCGTAGCTTCCTAAGTGGCGATCGTCATATCGATCACCGCCGACTTGGCAACGCAAACCGAGTCATCAACTGCACCCCCCGAACTCCCTTCCACTCCAACGTTACCAAACTACCCAATTTTCGCCCACGCCTACATCCTCTGACTGAGCATTTCCAACGAGCTCGGTCGACTGCCCTCACCCAAGAACCAGACCCAAAATTTTATGCAGCCAGAGCCCATCAACGCATCACAAAACGTTTCGTACCAGCAAACCTCTTTCGACACCGCCACCACCTCCCAGCATGGACAGCGCCGCAGCTTTGACTTCCAGGTCTCTCTGCAGCCTCACTCGGGTGAGCTGCGGGGAGAGTCTGGGCCACAACCCCGCGGGTTCGCACGCGATGCGACGCGTTCAGAGGCCGACACTGCAGTCGGGACCGTGGAAACAGATGGACTGAAGCGCGTCGCGTCTCCCTCGCCACCCCCGAGGGACAGGATCACCGAATACGAGAATGCGCTGAAGTCTTCACCGCGAAAGCCTGCTGATGGACCCCTCTTCGAGATCGTCAAAAGCAACAAGAAGCCCAGCGATAAGAGCTCTCCTATCGCGAACCTTCCTAATGGTGTGTACAAACGCCTCGAGAACGGGCGGGACATGAATGCATGAACAAGAGCTGACGTTGCGTAGAGGTTCTGATCCATGCTATCGCCCACCTGTCACCGAACGACCTCGCCGCCGTATCCCTTGTCTCTCGCCGCTTTCATGATGTAGTCACTACCCCACACGCCTGGCAGGTGGCATTCGGTCGCTACTTCCCTGGCCCACACTCACTCGAAGATGCCGCCTTTCGTTCAGCCCTTGAGGGCAGTGGCTCAGTCGTGCGATCAGAGAAGAGACGCTTCACCAGGCTCACTGCGCTGGCATCGTGGAGAAGCGAGTACATTCTACGCACGAGACTATTGCGGTCTTTGGTCAGGGGCAAGCCTGTACAGGTACCTGCGACACCGTCCCGCGCATCTCAGATGCAGACCATCACCCCAATGATTACCTACGATGCAAAAACGTATACTATCATCAACCACTTGCAGGCCACGTTCGGAACCGGTTTGAACAAGAAGATGCCGCGCTTCATCCATGGTGCAGACGATATCGGCATGGTGACCAGCAGCGATCCGATGACTGGCAAAGTGGATCCTTGGGGACAGAGCGACCCTCACTTCTATGGCCAATTCTCAGAACGCTTTCCGGGTACCGCAGAGTGGGGTCTGGGCTCAGGAGAGGTCGTCGGGCGACCCAACGTTATGGACATATCGCAGCCATACGGTATGATCTATGGCCAGGGCTGTCCAGAGGGCTCGTGTTATTACCGCTCCCTTGAGGAGATGCGTGGTCGATTCATAGCTGAACCCACCGACTTTGCTATGCCTGAAGTTGGTATACCAAAGCTAGGCATCGACGGCGGTGCTATCTGCAGCGTCTGGATCGCCAAGTCAAACACGATCCCGACCCTTTCGGATGGCTTGATAGGCATGATGATGGGATCCGCAGCTGGCGTCGTCAGTGCCTGTAGCATCGGTACAGATGGTCTTCGCTCGTCCCGTGTACAGCGTGGGGAGCTGACTGCGCGCTGGGTTCTCAGCCCGGGAGTACCTATCATCGCCATCGCCGTCGACGAACAATACTCAACCAAGCGTTATGCTCAGAACCGCATTTGGGCGGTCGCTCTGAATGCACTTGGCGAGATCTTCTACCTCACCAAATTTCCAACTCGCAGCCAGGCTACGAAAGGCGACATTGAGCACTACTCCGAGTATCTGGGTTGGCTCACTGGCCGCACCGTCTACTGGAACTTGGTGGAGCCCAGTCGACGTACTGCGAGGCCTGATCCCTACAGCGATGCCGATGTCGACGGTAGTTATTCGCCACGAACCTCATGGGATGGCATGTGCCTAAGCAAGGATCAGATCATCGCCGAAACAAGGGAGATCCAAGAATATCTTCGCAAGCAGCCAAAACATTTCCGAAAAGCATGCCTTGGATGGGATATGCGACGAACGCTCGAGGTTGACTTTGCTGGAGACGATGGAAATCATGCTGGGGAATCCGTAGTGGTCTTCGAATGCGGGCTTGAGGAGGGAGACATCGCTGATGCTAAACGCTTCACCCGATGTAAGATTGACGAAAAGGACAAGAGTACGAATATCTCAAGTCGCATTTTCACGCCTCAGCCTGCGCAAGCTACATCTTTATTCGGCGGTCCTGGCGCGGATCCTACAAAGCCTCTTCGTGGTCGCAGCTCTTCATACATCTCGAGCACAAGTTCACCAGAACGGGCCGCTCTGTTCGAAGAATGGAGGTGCTCAAAGCTTACATTCGGCGGGTTCAAGAGCACTCAGGTCACTACAACTGCTTTGGACGTCTCTACCTTTGCCACTTTGACCTTGTTTGAGGACCCTGCGCTTGGTTTCTCGACTGCCTCGACTGCATCCTCGCCTTACTCTTCCCCGATGTCGGTTGCAAGCCAGCCGGCCTCTCCCTCTGACATTCCTGGACAGCGCGCAAGGTTCCTCGCCGCTGGTACCAAGTCTGGCGTGGTGCTGCTTTGGGATGTCCGGGCGCCTACGTCGCGCTCGTCGGAGTACACAAACGACATCGAGCCTGTTCGTATCATATACACCGACTCGCCAGAGATATCCTGTGTGGCTGTCACCTCACTCTATCTCGTAGCAGGCGGAAACGACGGCTTGGTACAGGCATGGGATCCACTGGCTTCGAGCATGTCGCCCATAACAACACTTCACTCCCGACATGCGTCGCGTGCTCGTAGACAGCTTGTGCAGGCCCAAGCTTCCGTTCAAGGAGTCGGCATCAACATGTTTGCTGCTGGTGCCGTATGTCTGGATCCTGATCCGACCGTCTTGCGTGGTGCAGTATCTCTTGGCAATCAGCTTCGATTCTGGAGTTACAGCTCATCAGCAGCCGATCAGTATAGGAGCAGTAAACGCAGGCTACGAAGAGCCGAGCGTGGAAGTAACAACACCACAGAGCGCTTCGCCGGTACAGGCAGAGTCAACCTGAAGAACTACATTGCCAACGAACAGTTCGAGTTGGAGCGCGATAGACAAGAGCGTCACAAGCAGGCCGAGCGTTTGGCAGGCCGTTTTGGCACGGAGCTACTAAGCGAAGAGGAGGCTCTAGCATACGCTGCAATGCTTTCGCAAGAGGCTGCCGAGGCAGACGAACTACGCCGCATCGAGCGCGAGAGCAGTGCCCCTAAGAGTGAGCCTGTAACGCCAGAGGCGAGCGTCCAGGGCCAACCTTCATCGCCTGATACCAAGGACGACGACGAACTGGATGCCGACATCGCCGAAGCCATCCGTCTATCTCTCAACGATAGCTCCGGAGCTGGCAGCTATGAACCCGTTTCCACACCTCCTTCTGCGTTCGAGATTCCGATCAAGTACGCCAAGAGCAAAAAGTCTCCGCCATCCCGCTCCCAAAAGAGTACGCCCAGGAAGGGTAAGGCCGCTGCTAGTTCAAGTAACGAGAGCGAGATGTCAGATTTGGAATTTGCTATGCAACTGAGTCTTGCTGAAGAGCAGAGTCGAAAGGATGCTGAGGATGCTTTTCCACCGCTCAGTCCAGCAGCTGGCAGTAAGGGTAAAGGGAGAATGTGGTAATTTGGTTGGCTGGCTGTTCAGCTTGTCTTGGGCGTCTTTGCTATTCACCTTTCTTCTCAGCGGTCTCACGCTTAATACATTTGGATTATCACGTTTGTTCGATTCTTCGTACTGTACACCGATAGTCAGTATTGGCTCGGATGTACCGTTGCACCCTGATCTTCCCGGTCGGGTTTCTGTATCGGGAGGGCAGGAGCTTCTTGTACCTTGCGCAAGATGAGAGCTTAGTCATAGGCCACCTCTAATAGCTTGTTGCTTTCGATGTCGAAATTCAAATCTACATCTATTTTGACATCCGCTCATGATCGGTACGACTGGACTTATTGGCACTTGACCGGTTCTTCATGGCTGGCACTTAATGCGGTTAGCTTGGAGGCCTTACCGCCCAGACCCCTGACACTTCCAGGCTCCAACCAGGTTGTGTTCCTGTCTCAGACAACAGCAAGTATAGAGTAGTGTCGGATAAATTTGTTCAAAAGAGTTGGAAACGCGCGATATAATCTCAAATTCGACGCCAACCTGCAGTAGAGAGAGTGCCTGGCGACTACGTCTCTTGGTAAAGTTTCATCAGCAACCTTCATCGGCATTCGAAAGACTACGAGGGCAGCTTCTGAGAGGTGCCGGTTTAGAATTCGATACCCACAGCAACTAGAGAAGACAGTCGCAAAGGCGTGAAGGCGTACTTCCCGTCAGCAGCAGCATGGCGGGTCTCTCAATCACCTCAGCACTCCTTTCCCCTATCAACAAGCTCCGCGGGAAACCGAATCCATACCAGAAAAAATACACCGCTCCCAAGACCCCGGCCCCAAACAGTGAATTCCTAGCCGAAGCCCGTCAAGCAGCTGGCCGTGATCCCGTGACCGGAACCCAACAGCACACACATCCAGAACCCACGAGCGCCGACCTCCTAGCTGAAGCCCGTGAGGCAGCTGGTCGCAACCCCGTGACCGGCCGCCCACAGCCCGTTGTCAACGGCAAGAAAGCGAAGAAGCAGAAATTGTCGTTGGGACAACAGCAACAGGCGGCTGAAGAACAGAAAGCCGCGTTCCTTGCTTGGGCGGCAAGACATCCACAGGAGGGCGGGCGGCCGTATGAGAGCTACGAGGCTTTTGTGCAGGAGATGGTGGCGAAGCGGACGGGGAGTTTGGAGCAGCGGACGGGCGCGGGATATTATGCGCCTGAGAGGAGTGTAGGGGAGTATTATTCGGGTCGGGTGAGGGATTAGGGTGGTGGTGTGCGATTGGGGTTTGTTTTGTTTGTACTGATGAGTTATGGCATGTGGTTTCCTTGTTCTGGCGAATGATGCGTAGTTTTTCATGGAAAGAGCTTTTTGGGCAGGTGCAGGTGGGGATGTCTGCAGCTGAGAGCAAACGGGGGTTGGAAGGTGCAAACGGAGGTAGATGGGGCATGTGATGGGGTCTGTCAGATCGTACTTTCCTCAGCTTCTCTCTCACCTGTTTCGCATAAGGCCTGTTCAAGACCTTTCTCATTCTGCCCTTCATACATCTCCGAGAAACACAGTCAATCGGAACACGTCACCATGGGTTCAGTAATGCTCCAGCACCTGCCCTCAGCATGGCACGTCGACCAAGCCATCGTACGTTACCTTCACTCATCAACTCCACCAGACCTATCCCCTCAAATGCAACCCTCCGCTACACCCAGACTAACACCCACCAGCTCAGCGAAGAAGCCCGCATAGTCTGCCTCCGTTTCGGCGCCGACTACACACCCGAATGCATGGAGATGGACGAGATGCTATACAAGATCGTAGACGCAGTCAAAGACTGGGTCGTCATCTATGTAGTTGACAACAAGGTACTTTCCTTCCCTCCTTCCTTCCTTTCCTCTACCCTCTCACCCTCCCTACCCATCCTATCGCTTCCAAACCCCGCTAACACCCCTACCCCACCAGCAAGTCCCCGACTTCAACGCCATGTACGAAATCTACGATCCCTGCACCGTCATGTTCTTCTGGCGAAACAAGCACATGCAGGTTGACTTTGGCACGGGCAATAACAACAAGATCAACTTTCCGATTGGAACGAAGCAGGAGTTGATTGATATATTGGAGGCAGTGTATAGGGGAGCGAGTAAAGGGAAGGGGCTTGTTGTTAGTCCGAGAGATTACTCAACTAAATGGGCGTACTAGACGGAGGGAGAAGAAGGATGGGAAGAGATGAGAGCGAGGAGTGTGGCCCTGAGCTGTCTGATACCGAGGAAGAAGGAACGTCGGGTACGTGGGTTGAGAAGAATTGGCACGTTCTGATCAGCCAGAAAAGACAGCAAGGCTAAAGTGATGATATGATGTATAAATTTGTAATCTTGTTTCCTATCTTCGAGGCAACTAGCCTTACGTCTGTTTCCCAACGGCAAAATCCCAAATACTTGTCTCTAGCTGTACACCTTGGGCAATCGCCAGACAAGATTCTCAGACGCCATCCAACGCCATGCCATGCAAGTTAGCTCGCAAATATTGCAAATGAAGCAAGATCAATCCTCGCTGTGAACAAAGCAGAACAACGCCAGAAAGGTATGCAGCGCCCTGGCAGGAAATGTTAACAAGTCACACTAATGCTTTGAAGAAAACAGATGCAACTTCTTCTTCTTCTTCTCTTTGCCTTCTTTCTCTTCTTTTCCGGGCTTCGTGGTACTGCTCTGCGACGGCGAAGGACTGTGTTTTTGCGGGTTGGAATTGAGGTTGATGGCACCCATGGCTGCTGTAGGGGGTTTCGGGCCAGCGACTCTGGGTCCGGACGGCAAGCCACCAGCCATGGGAGGCTTTGTACCAGCAGGCGGTGGTGCTGGCTTCGGAGGCTCAGGCTTCTCGAACAAATGTGCTGGGGCTATAGGCTGCGGTTGATCGATGGGTAAACGCAGACTGCGGCGGTTTTGACTGAGATCGCCGACTTGGCGGAGGAAGAGCTGCGGCTTCATCATGTGTGAGGTGACGAGGAACACGTCTCTCGAGGTCTTGTTTGAGACATCATAGCAAGCGCGGGCCTCGGAGTAGGTTGCACCGCCGGCGACAAATACGATCACGCGCTGACGGGGCTCCGCACTCGCAAGTCGCGATTTGGCCCATGTCGGTTTTGCGGAGCGGAGGGAAGCGGGTGCAGTGTTCTCTTGTGCCATGCTGGCGACATCATCGGGTGACATCTTAGTGAAGGGAAAGACGTCCTGGGGCAAGCTGCCGCGGATGTGCTCCTCTAGCATGTCTTGGAGCGCCGGGTTAAATCTGGATAGACCATAGTCCTCAGTATTTGGAGGTGGGGCTGCTTTCGGTGGGAAGAGCGGTGGCTGTGCATCTCTTTTCTCTTTCAGTTGTCTGGCGACTCGCGCACCAAGAAGGTCAAGGTTACGAATAACGTCGCCGTCGGGAGGTGGCAGTTGAGCGTGGAAGAGGAGCTTTTGGAGGTCGGCTGGTAGTATTCCGTTCTTAAAGATTACGTAGAGCGCGATAAGGCGTAGCCGGTCAGCTGGCGTGATCTCTTCGTCGTCCAATGTGCGCACAATCTGGTCAGTCATGTTCTTGGGCTTACGGTAGTCTTCGTCAAGACCGGTAGCAAGGCACTGGAAAGGTTAGCGACAGCCGTGATCCAACGTTGATGGGACTCACCTGTTCCACTGAAGCAAGATCTGGGAGTTTGTGCTTCTGGAAGATCTCCATGCACTTCTGCGCCATGGTGAGATGTAGCGAGTAGGCTTCTTTCATCTCCTGGAACTGGGGCAAACCAGCGATCATATCCTTGATTGCATTTAGACCATTCATGCCAGCAGCGTTCTGGGCGTCTTGGTTTGTGAAATGGGGGTTGTCGGCGATGAACTTTTGGAAGTCGCTGATCAGCTTGTCGAGAGTATCCTTCATGTGCCGATGGCGGTTTTCCACCCATATCTTGTCCTTGTCGGATATCTCCATGTCTTTCTCCTCCGCCTCGGGGTCCTCTTCGTTGACAATGGTGCGGTAGGTCACCTTGTCGCTGTCTTGTATAGGCAACAGATCCATGGCCATTGCTTGGTATGTGAACTCGTGGAGGAAGGGTGCCATGAGGTCCATGGATCGATCGGTGATGTAGAGGGCACCGCGGGGTCGGTTCGATTGCGGGGGGAAGTCTTGGTTGAACTGCGCGTACATGTCGAGCTTGTCTTGGACGAAGCGGGCGAGGTGTGAGCACAAGACGCTGGCCTCATGGGTTGGAGCTCGCGGTCGGTAGTATCGGATGATGGGGTATTCGCCGAGTGCGACGCAGATTCCGGTGATCTAGGGCTGTCAGCAGAAGCTTGCAGGAGAGGTAAACTACCCACTCTTTCCGCAATATCCTCCATGTGGCGCACTACGAGGTTGTTGCACTCGGGGTGGTAGAGGATGGGGAAGCTCCACGGGTCTTTGAAGGTGACGAGGTGCGACTCCTGGGGGTGGAAGTCGAGGTGCACTGTGCGGAAGCTCCGAATCTGCTCGCGCGCCATCTGCGACCGGTCTATGCGCTCCTTGAGGTGTGGTGGTAGCAGCGTTGTCCATATCAGAAAGAAGCCGCGGTATCTGCGCTGGTCGAACTCGGCCATCATGCAGTCGACAATGTGTGGCTTGGGCGTGATGATGTACACGGCGTCCATGTCGCGGATCGTCTGCCGCCGGTCCTCGATGCGCTCGATGTCTGCGAGGTTAGGATCTGGCGTCTTGGGAGCGTGCGGAGTCGCGTACTTGTGATGTTGAGGTTGAGGATGTCATCTTCCTTGACCACGTTGTTGATGAGCTTCTGGCTGTCCTCGTCCACAATGAGTATCTTCCACTGCGCGGTAGCCGTTAGCGGAGTGCGGGCGCATTGTAGGGAAATTCATACGTCGCCGCGCGTGGTCTGCTTGATGGAGTTGAGAATGACTATGTGGCCTATCAGCACGTGTCCCTCAGGAGTTTCGAGGTGCCAATTTACGGTCGCGCTGGATATCGATCATGGAAGCCATGTTGGCGGGGTATCGCAGCGAATGCCGCTGGGAAAAGGCGAGGCGGTGGAAGCGGCAGCGGTAACGTGATGCGGTGACGAGGGCGTGTGTGGGCCACCTGGGCAGCTCTGTCGGGGCGAGGCACACGTGGTGCTGGGCTGTCGCGGCGGTGGTGAGGAAGGCGCGTCTCAGCTAGAGTTGCGTCGCGAGCTGCGGCGGGCAGGCGCCGCCGGAGGTCCCTACTGTACTACTGTGGTAGATGCTTGGCAACTTTTTATTCGACATTACGTCGTCGACTTGAACATTCCTGTCGTCTTTCGTTTGTACAGGCGCCTGGCGCTTTGAATTCTGTCTTTTCGTCTTTCCTCTCCCGCATGATACCCACCATTGGCATGCCTCTGCTGCCGGCGCGACGGAGTTCGCTATGTCTCATCTGCTCTTTCGCCGCCCGCTCTCGATCGCGAACCCAAAACCTCTTGCCCCGAATCCAAGCCGCACACCGTTCCGCTCCAGCCAAGCCCTCGAAGACGACGCATTTCAATCCTCTCCATCAGGGTAAACTTGCAAAAGGAGGCGATTCCAGATCTTCCAAGTCGTCAATACCCATAGGCATAGTCCGCGACAAACTAGACACCCTGCACAAGGAATTCGCCACGCCAGAATTTCTCGACCGACTCCAAATAAGCCGCGAAGACTTCGACAAGGAATGGACTACCTTCGAGGGATCCATCACCCTATGGATCAAGCAGGCCCCGCGTGAGTTGGTCACGTTGGTGCAGGAGGCCCAGCGGAGAAAGAACACACTTGAGAAGAGGCTACGATATCTGTTCTATGCGCAAGCATGTGGCGGCCGCTTCACGACGGCCGAGGCGGAGAACCAGAAGGAGGTGGCAGACCTGCGCTACCCAGCCGAATGGTATCCAGCGACACGGGAGATTACGCGGACAGTACACATGCACGTTGGGCCGACCAACTCTGGCAAGACGTACCACGCCCTGAAGCGTCTGGAGGAAGTCAACTCGGGCATCTACCTCGGTCCGCTGCGCCTCCTCGCCCATGAGGTCTACACGCGCCTGAATGCAAAGGGCAAGCCATGCGCTCTGGTTACGGGTGAAGAACAGCGCTTGCCCGAAGACACACACGCCAACATGTACAGTTGTACTGTCGAAATGGCTCCGCTCAACACTAGATTCGATGTGGCTGTCATCGACGAGATACAGATGATCAACCACCAGGAACGGGGCTGGGCATGGACACAGGCTTTTATGGGTCTACAGGCCAAGG